AAAGAGAAACCGGTGAGGAGACTTCATTACTGCAGCACTTCACAGAGAGCTATGACACGCATTCAGAAGACAGCATTCAGAACAGTTCAGCTCAGGTTTGGTCTCGTCTGACATTGATAGTGTTACTGAAATTTCAGTTTAGCTCAGTTCATCTGAGATCAGGATGAGTTTGTTTCTTCATCAGGTTTGTAGAAATGTAGCACTGCATCAGTGTCTCAGCAATGGATGCTCTGCAGTGAATGGGTGCCGTCAGAATGAGAGTCCAAACAGCTGATAAAAACATCACAATAATCCACAAGTAATCCACAGCACTCCAGTCCATCAGTTAACATCTGGAGAAGACAAAAGCTGAAACACATCCAGCATTAAGACGTTTTTAACTCAAATACATTGAGTTCATAATCCATAATAACTCTTCCTCCAGTGAAAAAGTGTTCTGGTGTGAATCAGGAGAGAAATCTGCACAGATCAAGCAGCGTTTAAACAGCTCTAAACAAATATGTGGCTGGATTTTGATGTGAGAGACAACAGCAGATGCACTTTTTCACTTTTTCTATGGATTATAGACTCATATTTTAGACATTAAAAGAAGTCTCTTTGGATAAAAGCGTCTGCTAAATGACTAAATGTAAATGTAAATACCCTCAGAGAGTCAAAACTTTCCAGTTCCTGACTCTAAATGAGAAATAGTCTCACAATTACAAGAAAACATCCTTGTTTAGCCAGTATTTCCAGCAAATGTGTTGTGGGTCAGATTGATCCAGAACATAATATAAGGTAGAAGAAGCTAATTTTTAAAAAATGCATTTCTTTCTTTCTTTTATTTTTACTCCACTGCCCTGCGTCTCAATTTTTTAAATGCAAAAACACATTCTGTGTGAATGGCCTCTAATAGTTCGAGTTAGTTAGGCTTCTTGCATGGTAGTATTTTTGCTATATGTGAAATAAATAACATGAACATCATATGTTAATGAGCTGATGATCGTGATGCCATCGTGATTTCTGCAGCTGGTTTTATCACACAGATGAAGGTCAGTAAAGAGTTTGTTTGCATGTTTGCTGACGTTTATCTCTCGATGGGATTGAATGTGTTTATCCGACACAAAACACAATTTAAATACAAATTAGCGCACGCACGGAAACCAATAGCATTTGCATTAATTCCACTGGTGTTTGTAAGATAAACTAGATAAAAAAAGTTTGTCAAGACAAACTTTAGGTTGGCTTGAGAAAGCCTAGCCTGAAAGTTTAAAGCAGTTGTAAAAGCCTGAAGTTTGAAAATTTAGATAGATTAGATAGATGTTGATAACATGTTTCTAGCATGATTAGCATGTTTTTAGCATGATTAGCCTGTTACTAACATATTGCTGGCATGATTAGCAATTTACTAGCATGTTTCTAGCATGATTAGCATGTTGCTAGCAAGATTAGCAAGTGATTAGCATGTTGCTAGCATGACTAGCAAGTAACTAGCATGTCGTTAACATGATTAACAAGTTACTACCATGTCGCTAGCATGATTAGCAAGTTACTAGCATGTTGTTAGCATGTTTACAGCATGATTAGCATGCTACTAGCATGTCGCTAGCATGATTAGCAAGTGACTATCATGTTTCTAGCATGATTAGCAAGTTACTAGCATGTCGCTAGCATGTTTCTAACATAAGCATGTTACTAGCATTTGCTAGCATGATTAGTATGCTACTAGCATGTTGTTAGCATAATTAGCAAGTGACTATCATGTTTCTAGCATGATTAGCAAGTGACTAGCATGTTGTTAGCATGATTAACAATTTACTAGCATGTCGCTAGCATGTTTCTAGCATGATTAGCATGCTAGCTAATGGGCTTCAGTGTGTTTAGATTTGGATTTTGACAGTTGGAGTTTGAATAGTCCTGGCTCATTTGAACATTCCGTCAATGTAAGTCTATGGGATTTTTATGATTTTTAATCCTCAGTTTTATGAAAACTATAAGTCGGATCAGTCTGAAAAGATATAGCACACTAAGTCAGATCAGTCTGAAGAGCGTGCCTCAAAAGAGGGCTTACAATGACTTACAAAGATACATAACAGCTACAAGTGTATGCACTACTTGCTTTA